TTTCAGAAATGTGGTGGACGGGGGCGAAGAACAGGGTCCACTCATCCCACACCGGAAGCCGACCGAGTGAAGTGGAAGGCGTAATGTCATCCTCTACGGGCTCATGCTCCCGTCTAGTGTTTCGGGACCGTGAACCCGAGCCTCGTTGTCTAGCCATGCTACATTGTGCAGAATTATCATGAATAAAGGTTCTATAGTATCTAATGTTTTCCTAGCCGCATAATACTATGTTCGCAAAAACAGAGTACGTAGTACTAAAACAGAGCACAAATTCAAATTGAGCATGACAACATTTTTCAAGCAATCAAACAATTTCTTGAAACACTATAGTGATTATTGTGACAAATTGGACAAGAATTGCTAGCAAAAATATCAAGAACGAGTCACATTGTTCTTCACGACCTTAAGAGGTCCAACAATGGCAAATTGCTCATTTCTTCACCAAATTGAGTCAAGCAAGTCTCAAATTACTCCCAAGGCAATATACAAACATTATCAAGCAATTTCATGGCATAAAACTTGAAAAACAAAGCAAATTGAGCATTATAAATTTCGAATTTTCATGAAATTCGTGAATAAACATGCCAAAAATCCATAAAAACTAATGTGAGTTTGAAGAAAACTTACATAGATCGGAAAAATAGATGAAAAGAGCTTTGATTTGCAACAAATTTGAGCGAATTCGGTTGAGAAACAAGCAAGAACCGAGCAATTGAAGTTTTCGAACTTTCTTTCGAGCAAAATCGCGACGAGCAAAGCAGCAAATGAAGAGGAAAGGGGTATTTAAGGAAATCCCCGTGTTGGCGCCAAGCCATATGCATTGGCGTCACAAATTTGACTTGGCGCCTGGCGCCAATATCAACGCCTGGCGCTAATGCTAATAAGGTGGCGCTGAAGGTTTTTCAGTGGCTCCAAAGCACCCAGCCACCTGATGAGATTGTGCTAGCCTTCTGCAACATATGTTTGGGTTCCTTGGTACGCCAGTTAGCCCCTCTAAGCAATCTGACATGATTCAGTAATCGGCTTGATTACATAAAGTGATCGACCTGATAAAATATCGTCTCACTTAGCTTAAAGCGCCTAAGCATTGGCTCATTAGCAAAAAGCACGGACATATAGGTTCAAGAGCAAAAGAGCGCAGACATACAGGTTCAAAGCAACGGAAGCGCCGACGTACAGGCATGGCGGAAGCAAAGTTCAGGCGAACTTTTAAAGATCGACAGGCGTGGATCTTCGGTAATTATCTTTGGAAAATTATCGCATCAAATGAGGATGACTTCAAGAGAAGATATCTTCGACAACATTCCCTAGCTTGCGGAGAATTGTCACGAACAACTAGAGGTAATTTCGGGCGAAGTTGTCTTCGATCATATTCCCTTAGGCATGGAAGATGATCATAATGCAGATGAGGATTATTTCAAGAGAAATAATCTTCGATGGTGTTCCCTAGGATGTGGAATATTATCAATGCAGATGAGGATTGTTTCAAGAGAAATAATCTTCGATAGTATTCCCTTGGACGTGGAATATCATCATGGTGGAGGAGGATTGTTTCAGGCGAAGCAGTCTTCAAATTTGGAAGCAGTTACAGGCGTAGCAGTTTTCAAGCGGGATGACATTCTCTAGCTTGTAGAGGTCATAAAAAAGAAATCGGTTACTTATAGAGACGTGTTCTCGACGATGAAAGATACGCGTTTCTTAACTCTTTTATCTATTTAACTAATGCTAGTTTTGCAGGTACCGGCGTTATAAGATTGATTTAGGATCGCAGAACGTTCTGAATCATTCTCCGTCGCTATCGATACTTTGACTTTTGTTTTCGAAACTTGCATTTCTCCAAACTCAGTCAAAGTGGGGGCTTCTGTAGACACCCATTTGTGTCTCCCCAAAACCAAACCCAGTGATGAGTACCTTTCACGTCGAATCATAATCGAATGAAGCAAAAGTGTGGAAAGTCTAGTGTTGCGGAAAGTTTTAATTCTTTTCTCTTCTCTCTGTTTTTGAAAACTTATTTTAAGAAAACAGCCAATCTAGTTTGGTTTGTCCATGATATGAGTCCAATAGAAGTGTAGTTGGATGGGGCTTGCAAAGACCTTTCCAACGATATATTATAAGCCCAATTCCAATGAATATTGAGGAAGTTATGGCCAATTTACTAAACTGGGCCCGGTTTGAGCTTTATATGCGGCCCAATGATCTAGGGGAGGGCCTAATATGATTTATCATTTCTAATGCAATTAGGAATGGTTTTAGTCTTCTAGAATCTTCTAGAAGGTTCTTTTCATTCCTAATTCAATTAGCATTGATAAATTGACTTTTGTTGACTTTTCAGAGTTTTAATCAAAATTAAATAGCATTTTTGTGGAAATTACATGATTTTATCCTCCAGTACGGCAAATTTATCTGATTTTCGAAAACGCGTTAAAATCAGGCTTGGCGCCTAACCCCAGGCCTTGGCGCCTGGAACCAGGCCTGGTGCCTGGCGCCAGTGTTGGTGCCTGGCGCCAGTTAGCCAGGGTTGGCGCCAACTCTGTTTTTCGTGCGTCAGACTCTGTTTTGTTTAATTTATCTTTTTGGCTGATTTTCTCTATAAATATCGTATTAAAAACTGTGTTTTGATTCATCTACATTCATTCATTCATCACCAATTCTCGTCATTCACCTACAATCAGTTTTAATTACCATTCTCTCAATCTTTTTCATTTAAACTTTGCTTTTTACATACAAAATTCCGAATTCACAAGATCTAGAAACACCTAGCCATATTCGAAGTTGCCTTCGCCTTAGACGTGAAAGGTTTTAATTTCTGAGGGTTTGGTCCCAAATCTCTCTTTCAATTATTTTATTTAATTGTTTGTTTATTATTTTCCTTGAAGTTACTAACGTTTGTATTTTGTTATTAGAAAGAGGTACGAGGCATCAAAGTAAGTGTTTTAATGGTTTTAATTGATATTATGATGTAGAAATCATGTTTATATTGTTATTATGATATTCCTAGTATCATGTCTAGGGTAATTTTAATATTAAATATGATTGTTGTGATGCTTCCTATTTTCTTCCTAATATTCATGATTGTTAGTATCATGTTAGGGTTAAAGATTTGATCTTTATTGCTTAGTGACATGCTAGGGTTTGTTATTAATCTTGTTAGTATCATGCCTAGGATCTTGCTATTTTTATTATGCTTTAATATTAACATGAACATGATTATGATTATAATGACTATAATTTATGATGATGATTATTATTTTATTTATGACGATTATTATTATGAATATTATTATTATGATTATTTTGATGATTATAATTTTATTATTATGATTATAATTATATTATCATTATTATAATTTATTATTATCATTATTTATTTATTATTATTATTGTTGCTTGATATTTATTCTTTATTGCTTGATCACCTTTTATGCATGTTAAAGGGAATTGATACTTGTAATCACGCTTAATAAGATAATTAATAATCTTGTTAAGGTTAAATGTGATTATATTTCTAGTGATCGCCAATATTAGATTTATTTGTGCATTAATATTCAACCAACATAGATAAACAGGTTTAGGGTTAATCCTATTGATTGCATGTTAGTCAGAAAGCGCACATGAATACGATCAGAATAAAGTAGAGACCTATTATTAGGGCAGGTTCAATCTCTATTAGGTTGGATTTTTACCTTCGTCCCCGAACCCTTATTTGGTTCTAGACCTTATGGAGTTGACGATCTCTTGGATCGTTAAGGGGTGTACCCTTGATCCTATGAACAGTTTACAAGTTCCTAAAAAACTTGTTGGCGACTCTTTTGCTCTATCTTCTTCCCTTTTGGACGCCACCGTACTTTAGTGTATGATCACAGTGGGGTTCAAGCTAGTGGGATTAAAGGCTTGAAATTATTCCCCACACTAGGACAACTCAAATACTGACTTAGTTGTTGAACTGAGAAGGACAAATCAAGTCTTGTCAAGTTCAAACATAGCAGCCTTCCCTCCAATCTTCTATAACTCTCAGGATCCTCAAGCAATTCTCCTGTTTCTGTTGATAACTTAACTCCCTTTGGAAAAGGAAACGTACATGGTGTACATCCTTCAATTCCACTATCTCTGAAAATGTCTAGAGCATATTTTTTTTGGTTGCTAATTGTATCTCCTTCACCTCGAGCTATCTCAATTCCCAAAAATACCCCAAGAATCCCAAATCCTTTATAGTAAAGGCACTATCCAGTTTTCTTTTCATGGAAGCAATTGTTTCTTCATCATCACCAGTGATAATCAAATCATCAACATACACCAAGATGATACAAGTTTTACCATTTTCTGTTCTCACAAACAAGGAGTAATCTCTTCTACACTGCTTGAAACCATTTTCTATCAAAAATGATTTGAGTTCAATATTCCATTACCTTGAATCTTGCTTCAACCCATACAAACTCTTTCTTAATTTGCATACTTTATCCTTTATTCCATTCATATATCCATCTGGTATCTTCAAATATACTTCTTCTTCTAAGTATCCATGCAAAAATGCATTATTTACACCCAATTTATGTAAATTCCAGTTTCTTGCAGTTGCAGTTGCTAGGAATTTCAGCATTTTCTTTGTCACTTTGCTTACAAGGAAAAATATTTTCTTTGAAATTTACATCTCTAGATACAAATATCTGTTTTGACTCTAGATAAAATACTTCGTATCCCTTTTGATCACTAGGATATCCAATCAGAACACATCTAGTTGCCTTAGCAACAAATTTATCCCTTTTTCTATGCCTGTTACTAGCATAGCATAGGCACTAGGCCTGTACAAAACTATCCGAGAATCCGAAAATCCGATCCGCAACCGATCCAAATTTTAGGATATCCGATCCGAGTTTTGGATATTGATTTCTAAATTTACGGATATCCGATATCCGAAAAATATCGGATATCGGATATCCGAACTGATATCCGATAATTTACAGGGTAAATATTGAAATTAAATATATTTTTATTTTAAAAAAATAAATATTATTAAAAAAAATTAATAATCAATAGACAACCTATTCAGTACCTTTTACCTTATTCACTTTCTCTCACTAAATTCCTAAAAACCCTAAATTCTTCCCTTTCCCTCTCTACGCTCAGCCGCTCAAGGCCTCAAGCTGCCACGAGTTACGACCACCCCACCCCACTGCCACGGCGCCACCCCACCCCACCACCAGTCCACCATGCTCCAGATCTCCTTCAGTACACTCGCCCAGATCTCCTACTACTCGTATTTGCTCGGCTAATCTCCGCCTCTCCGGTATGTAGTTCGAATTCATTGTTTTGATGTTTTTGGTGGTTTGCCTGTCAATTTTATTTTAATATGTGTTGTAAATTTAGTTTTGTTATCTAAATTTCGTTCTATTTGTTGGGAAAATCGGTTGTTTGTTAGATTTTCGATCTAGTAGTATTTGTTTGGAATATCGATTTTTTATCTGACTTTTTTCTATCTATTTGTGTTAATTTTTTGTCAAATTATTGTTTGTAGTTTTCTGCTAGTTTATTTGTCATCTCACTCATCTAGTTTTCTATCTATTTGTGTTAATTTTGTTGAATTTTTATTGCTTATTTTCTGAATTTCGTGCTTATTTTTTGTTGCTTAATTATTTTCTGAATTTCTTGCTTCTTTGTTAATTTTTGTTCAAATTCTTATTTTTTGTTACTGCTTTAGTGCTTTATACTCCTCAACATAATTATGTGAGTTTAAGTTTTTATTGGAGAATTAAGATTCTTATAGTGTAATTGTATGTGAATAATTGTAGGTAAATGGATGAAACCGTTGATATGACAAGTGATAGTGCCACTCCTTTGAATGAAGAAGGTACACAAATTCCAGAAAATCCAACTCCACAATTTGAACCAGAAGTTCAAGATGTTCCTAATTCAAATAAAAGACCAAATGAAGAAGCTGCTCCAAGTAAAGGTAAAAAAAAAAACGATCTTGGATTTGGGAACATTTTGAGAAAATCAATAAAAATGGGGTTGAAAGATCAAAATGCTTGTATTGTAAAATTGATGTTTCTGGTAGTATTATTGATACTGTTTTTTTTTATTTTTTTGTGCTACTGTTTTTATTATTTAGTAAAATGTAATATTGAGACTTTGGTAAACTTTGTAATATTGAGACTTTATTAAGCTTGGTATTTTTAATTTGAGGAGTTAGATTTGTAATGCACTAAGATTGCTAGTATGCTACTGCAGTTCTGCTTGTATTTGAGAAGTTTATTTAATGGTTTTTTTTAATTAATTTAATTTGCAAAAAAGACTACTACAATTATTGTACAGGTTTTTCAAAAAAAAAAAAAAATAGTACAGGACCAACAGGTACAGCTGTACAGGATTACACGAATACAACCATAAAATTTTGAGTTTTCATTAAACATTGGATAATGGATATCCGAAATATCCGATCCAAATGATTTCGGATATCGGATATTGAATATCCGAAATTTTTGGATCGGATTTGGAATTCAATTTCTGACATCCGATGAATCGGATATCCGGTCCGAAATCACATTTCGGATTGGATATCCGATCCATGAACAGGCCTAATAGGCACCCTATAACTTTCAGATGCTCATATCTTGCCTTTCTCTTCATCAGTCTCTCAAAAGGTATCTCCCATTTCAATACTACACTAGGCAACAGGTTGATGACATGAGTTTCTGCTAGCACACACTCTCCCCACATATTTTTAGGTAACCTAGCATGTATTCTAATTGCCCTAGCTGTCTCTATCAAATGCCTATGTTTTCTTTCAACTCTCCCATTCTGCTGAGGGTTTCCTGCAACACTCCTTTGATGCAAAATTCCCTTTTCTTTCATTATTGTGGAACACTCAGACTGAAATATTTCAGTCCCATTGTCACTTCTTATCACTTTAATAGAAGTACTAAAATGATTCTGCACATATGCAATGAACATTTGCAGCACCTGTCTAACCTGTTCCTTATTTGACACCAAATAAGTCCAAGTCACTCTTGAATAATCATCCAAGATGGTGAGGAAATAACTTGCCCCTGTGACATTCTTAGTTCTATATGGTCCCCACAAATCCATATGAACCAAATCAAAGATAGCATTTGCAATTAAAGAACTTGAATTAAAAGGTAATTTGTGGTGTTTTGCCAAACAACATGTATCACAAAAATATTCAGAGACCCCATTACAATCACAAATACTCAAATGTTTCATCTTGGATAAAGAAGTATGTCCTAATATTGCATGTAATAAATCTAAATTTCCTCTAGATTTACTACTCAAAACTTTCTTCTTACAAGCAATTACATTAGCCTTATTCTGCTCCTTCTCTACTCCATTTCTTCTTTCTTCTGTTCTCTCAGACCTCTTGTCCAGCCTTAGCTTGTAAATTCCTCCACTCTTCTCTCCATATCCAACTACCTCTCTACTAGAAGGGTCCTGAAATAGACACCCATAATCAGTGAACATCAGCTTCAATTTTGTTTGCTCCATCAACTTACTTACTTATAGTAAATTATGCTTGAACTCAGGTATATGCAACACATTTCTAAGAATTATATGTTCATTCAGTTTCACAGTTCCCATTTATTTCACATTTCTAATTGTTCCATCAGGCATTCCAATACTAACATGCTTTCTTAAATTTCTTATATCACAAAATAATTTCCTATCACTAGCCATGTGATCAGATGCTCCTGAGTCTATCAACCAACCACTTTTATCCACATTCTCATAAAGTGCACAAGCATTTGAGGTTGAGACAATACCTGCAAAATTTCTCACACTCACTGCATTACTTGAACTGCTTACCTGACCTTGCTGCTTCTGATTCATCACCTTCATTACCTGCTGCACCACTGCGTTCAGCATCTCAGAATTTGGTTTCTCACCATTGCTCAACTGTCCTTGTTCAGATGATTTAAGAGGATCATCCTCAATGCACTGTCCTATTCTAGACACATTTGCAGCATATTTCACTCATGTCTTTCCCTTTGGATTGTTCTTAAACCAATCTGGATACCCATAAATCTTGAAGCATCATATCCATCTATTGTATGTCCCTTCATTTTGCAGTTTTCACATCACTTCTTTTGTTTTTCTTCCTTGGTCTCTCTTCTTTGATAATTACCATTCTGATAATTATTCCTGTGATTCTAATTGTTGTTCTGCCTATTTCCATGGAATGGCTTAGCAGCTTGTTCTGCCTATTTCCATGGAATGGCTTAGCAACTAGTAAAGCACTTACCTCTTATCCTATTTCATCCAATCCTGATATTTCCTTCTGCTTTTCAACTTGTAAAACAATCTGATGTACTCTATTAACACTAGGCAATGGATCCATGCCTATGATGTTTTCTTTCTAGTTTTCATAACCAACTTTCAATCCCATCAAGAAATCCATCACTTTTTTCTTCTCTTCTCTTTCCAACAACTTCTTCATTACATTACATGTGCATTTATTAAAAATACCACATGTGCATTCAGGCATTCCTTCCAGACTACTAAGCTGATCCCATCCAACCTTAAGCTTCCCAAAATATTCTGAAACACTCATGTTGTTCTGTTTCAACCCATTCAATTCTTTCCTAAGCATATAGATCTAAGGAGCATTTGACTTCCCAAATCTCTCAACTAATTCAGTCCAAAACTCTCTAGCTGAGTTCACTATCAACATTTGTTCAGCAATTTGTGGTGTTACACTAGCAGATAACCAACATCTAATCATGCAATCATTCCTTATCCACTGATTATAATCATCAGAAGAAACATTTGGTTTAGATATCTTACCCTCGATGAATCCAAGTTTGTTCTTTACCCCTAGAGCCATCCTCACACTTTTGCTCCAGCTGACATAGTTCTTTCCATTGAAGACAATCGTTCCCAATGGTGTGTTCGAGTTTTCCGAGCTTCCCAAATAATAAGGATAAGCATAAGGAATAACTTGCTTACCCTCCATTATGTGTTTCTATTTCACAGATTTAAACTTTTAAGATCAAAGATTAAAACTTTGATATTCGGTTCAGTGTTTGGCTAGATTCAAACTTTCCATTTCAAAAAGCTTCAATTTTGTTCAATCTCACAACCTGGTGAGCTCTGATACCATGAAGAAAATCAGAGTGTATTTGGTTTTGTGTGTTCAGCAAGAATGTTTTGTTAGTGAATGGAGGCGGAAGAATAATTTCAGGGGATCTCAACCCTAGAAAGATCTGCTTCTCATTAATATATACACACCTTGATCACTACAAGACAAAGCTACAGCTCATGGCTGCTGTCAAGGAAAGAAACAGACAACAATAAAATCTACCCCTGCACTAAGTATAGCTATACACATATTATACAAATATTATACATATTTCTACAAAAATAATCTGTTGAATCTATATCTATACTTGTATGAATGTTGTCATCATCCCTATGATGCGACATGTAAACTTCATTTTTTAACAATGTCACATATCACCTCATTTGATCTTTTTTAAATCCCCTTTCTCATATTTAAAAAAAAAAAAACTTTATTTCAATACATGTACCAGTGTTGTTTGACTCACTTTCCACCAACTTAAATGTTCTACAATTATCTACCTCTTCTTCTCCTTTATAAACTATTCATTTTCCAAAATACATATATTAAAAAATAATTATTTACATTATACAAACAACACGTGCATTGCACGAGTCAGAATGCTAGTTAGATATAATTCTTATTAACATTATAACTCATTAAAAATGCTTTAAACTTTGATTGGTAATAATATATACATATATATATATATACTAGTTTTGTGCCCCGTGCGATGCCCGGGTTGTTTATTGAATTTTAAGATAAATTTATAATCTATATACCAAATTTTAAAATATATCATTTAAAAAAAATTAGGAATTGATGCGCCACTACAAGAAAAAGATGAATTAGTAACTGATTTTTGCGACTACCATAATAATCAGTTGCAAATATTATTTTTGTGACTGAAAAAGACGAACAGTCGCAAATTTTGCAACTGATTTTGCAGTAGTTGCTATGCGGTCGCTAATTAGCAACTATATTTGCGACTACCATAATAATTAGTTGCAAAAATTATTTTTGCGACTGCAAAAAATGAGTTGTCGCAAATTTTGCAACATATTTTATAATAGTTGATATGCAGTCGCTAATCTGCGACATTCTTACAACTTTTTGCGACTAAATTGCAGTTCCTAAGGTTAACAAATTTGAAACAATTTCTTAAAAAAAATTGCGACTAATATTGCAACTAACATGGTAGTTGCTACTACTGTTTTTAAAATTTATTAAAAAGGAATTAAAACCCTTAATATATAATAAGTTTTTTTTTGGTACGGAAATATAAAAACCCTTAGTAAAAGTAGTACAATAAGTTGTTGCCACCTAAAAACACAATAAACAATTATATCACTCCTTCCTTAAAAAAAAAATTCATCACTCCTTATTTACAAACATTGCTACTCGATACTCTTCATCGTCACAAAAAAAAGACAAAAAACGAAGGCCAGAACAGTGCAATTCAGAACTTCATATCAAACCCTCGTCGTCTTCATCGGTCGCCGTTGCGCCATCCATCTCCTCTCCGGTTAGTCGCATGCTTCCTCTTCCTAGTGTCAATTCAATATTTCTCATATTGTAATTTGCTAATTGCGATTTAGTATAATTGAGTATTTTGTCCAACTTTTTAATTTTAGTCTAGTTTCGTTTGCAAATTGCGAATTGATTTTAAATTTTGAATTGATTGAATTGCGAATTAAATGAGTTGTGAATTGATTGAATTGAATTTAATATGGTTTATTGCGAAGATTGAATTGATTTTGTTTGACAGGCAATTGCGAATTTTTGGGTTATTTTTTATTTCAATTATTAAAAAACCATTCAAACATGATTTATTAATCAAAAAGCCCTAATTATTTTTAATTTCTTAACGACTGATTTCATTTTCCCTGAGGTTTGCAAGGTCTGGATCTGTTCGAATTCTCTGTATAATTTTCAGAAATTGAAAGAATAATTAAGTGAAGTGTATATGCATTTTTACATTGTAATTAAGGATAGAAATGACAATGATGAAGAGGATAAATAATAACCAAGATTAGGTTTCCTAAAGAATTTTACATTGTAATTAAGGATAGAATGCTTAATCTTTCTTGCATTACCTGGTTTTAAATTTATTATATTGCAGTAATTTTGTGTCTTAGGTGCCAGAATTGTGGCAGAATTGTATACTGCATAATGAATAATATTTGACAATGTAAATACTCTCTGCAATATGTTTATATAGGTGTTGTAATTGATAGTGTATATGACAGAAACTTATAAACAGGAGTTTATATAAATGAATTAGTCAGACTGACTTAAATCCCTATATAATATTTTTAGATTATTTTCTTATATTTTTCTAAAACACTAGATATCCTATTCTCACATATATGATGCTTCATATTTTGATGTATGTAGTTTCCGCTTTTCTTAAATTTTTTTCCCTGATTTGGTAAAATAAATTGATTTGTACCTATCATTGTTTTGTTCTGCTTGTTTCATTATAAGCATATGCGAATCGTGGATACATACACTGATGCATTAAGTTTCTTTTTTTTTTGTTCCTATTAAGTTTCTTTTTTTTGGTTTCTCTATATTTATGTTGTCCCACCAAATGAATATTGAACACTTCTTTTTCCATTGTTTCAAAAATAAAGAAAAAAGATTGCGTATACACTATATGACTTAACTGCTGCACCTTTTCTTGCTTATCTTTCTTTTGTCTTCTAAGTAATTGCCTAAATAACTAAATAACGTATATAATAAGAATAAATTACATATATAAGAAGACTATATTACATATATGTGTATGAGTATTAATGTCGTTTAGTAGTTAGGATCATGGAGAAATTGAATCGAAAATGGATGTATGAGAGATTAGAAGGTCGACTACTAAAAAAAGAGTTCACAATTGGCATGCGAGAGTTTATTGAGTTTGCTAAACAACACCGTGATTTTCAAGAATCTTCAAAGATCAGATGCCCTTGTTCAAAGTGTAAAAATGTTCCTTTTTTAGATGTTGAAAGTGTAAGAGAGCATTTGTATAAAAAAAGGATTTCTTAATGACTACTATGAATGGGTTTGTCATGGAGAGGATTTTGATTCTTTAAAAGCATCAGATGAGCGGTCGGATCCGTATGTTGACATGATTATTGATGCATTTGGTCAAGTTTATGGTGATCTAATGCATGAAGATATTCGGAATGTTGAAGAAGAACCTAATCCTCAAGTTAAGAAGTTTTTTGAGATGTTAGCAGCCGCACAAAAACCATTGTATGAAGGAAGTCGATTATCTGTTTTAGAGATGGCTTCAAGGATTACGAGCTTGAAGTGTGAATACAACTTGCCTCATAGATGTGTCGATAGTATTTCATCGCTCATTAGTAAAGTAATTCCTAATGAAAATTCAATGTCCAAGACGTACTATGACACTAAAAAGGTGGTAAAGGGCCTTGAACTTCCTCATGAGAAAATACATGCATGCCCTAAAGGATGCATGTTATTTTGGAAGGATAAAGCTCACCTTGAAAAGTGTTCAAAATGCGGGGGGAGCGTTATAAGAAGACTTCTCGTGGAAAATGTGTGCCGGCCAAAGTGTTATTCTACTTCCCAATCGCGCCAAGGTTGCAAAGGCTCTATGCGACCAAAGACCTTGCAAATGAAATGCAGTGGCATTCACAAAATCCTTAGGGTAAGTGGAACACTCGCCCATCCAAGTGATAGTGAAGCATGGAAACATCTTGATAACACATACAAGGATTTTGCAAGTGAGCCCTGTAATGTTAGATTGGGTCTATGCACAGATGGTTTCTCAGCTCATGGAAAATTTAGAATGCAATATTCTTGTTGGCCAGTAATTGTTACCCCATATAACTTGCCTCCATGTTTATGTATGATGAAGCCGTTTATGTTTTTATCCTTGCTTATTCCGGGTCCTAAAAACCCAAAAGGGAACTTGGATGTGTACATGCAACCCTTGATTGACGAATTGAAATCTCTATGGGAAGTAGGTACAATGACATATGATGTATCCACAAAGCAAAATTTCAAGTTACGAGCTGCCCTTTTATGGACGGTTAGTGACTTTCCTGCGTTTGGGATGTTATCTGGTTGGACTACATCGGGAAAGATGGCTTGTCTATACTGCATGGACAAGCATATATCTTTTTGGCTAGAAAAAGGCTCTAAAGTATCATGGTTTGATAGTCACTGTCAATTTCTCCCACCTACACATCTTTATAGAAAAAACCGCACTGCTTTTTTCAAAAAAAGAGCAGAAACTCGATTGCCTCCTCAATATTGACGGGCCATCAACTATGGGAGCAGGTTAAGGAGATTCCAAAGTCCATTGATCCAAAAATCCGTTCGACAAAATAAAAAAAGGTTAAGACAGGGTGGCATAAGCAAAGCATCTTTTGGGAGCTTCCTTATTGGAAAGATTTGTTGATTCGACATAATTTAGATGTTATGCACATTGAAAAGAATTTTTTTGATCAACTCATCCCCACAATAATGAATGTGAAAGATACCGCAGTTGATACAGATAAGGCTCGCCTAGATGTTCAGCGATATTGTAAGCGGAGTAGCTTAGAGCCTATTGAATCTGATGATGGGAGCTTGATCTTCCCAAAAGCACCATACACTCTTGATAAAGCACAACTTAGAGTGTTGTGTGAATGGATAAAAGATCTTAAGTTTCTGGATTGATATGCTTCTGATTTTGGTAGATGTGTGGATTTGCAAGCCTGTAAGATACATGGAATGAAAAGCCATGATTGTCATGTGTTCATGGAAAGGTTGTTGCCCGTTGCAATGAGAGAACTTCTTCCTGATAATGTTTGGAAAGCAGTCACTGAAATCAGCCAATTTTTTCGCGATCTATGCTCTTACACTATTAAAGTTGATGATGTGACTCGTTTAGAAAAAAACATTCCAGAAATCTTATGCAAGTTGGAGAAAATATTCCCACATGCATTTTTCAATTCAATGGAGCATTTACCCGTTCATTTGCCACATGAAGTAAAAGTGGGTGGTCCTGTGCAATACAGATGGATGTATCCATTTGAGAGGTAATATACATTTTCCCAAGCCACTCCATTGTTTTCAAGTTTCTTCTATATGATTTATAATTTTACATGTGAATGAGTCAATTTAACTTATTTTGTAGATTTCTTAATCATCTGAAGAAGAAAATTGGTAATAAGGCACGAGTGGAAGGCTTATCTTGCATAAGAGATTTCTATCTTTTCTTCTTATTACTTTCAACCTCATGTTGATACGAAATCTAGAGATCTAGGACGCAATGTTGTTGATGATGATGATCTAGATTCAACTATACCAGAATTATTCCAATTTAGCAAAGGTCGTGGCAAAGGTGTCCAAACAAGGTTTTTAGATTCGAAAGAAGTCAAGCATGAACACCACTATGTTCTTTCCAATTGTGGGGTGTTAGGAGAATATGAAAGGTACAAATTTCTATAATTGGTAGTTATTATATGCAATTTGCTAGATTATTAACGTTTTAAGGTTTATAGGAAGTTTGAAGAGTCGATGATGCAAAAATATCCTGGTATTGACCTACATGATATTTGGAGAAAGTTTTCACATGAATTTTCCAAATGGTTTCAGGATTTTGTAAGTTTTTACAATCAAGTTTCGACATATCATTCGCTAAATATGACTAAGGTTATATATTTTATTAATTAATGGCTTGAATTTGAAATTAGGTTATCGAATCTAATGAGACTGATGAAGTGATTCGAGCACTTGTTGTTTCGGGGTTTTTTGATGTGTCCTGCGGGAGAGTTACGATTCCAAGAATGCCCTTCGACGCCTGTGCCTGCAAAATCACGAAGACTCCTGGGGGTAGGAGCTCCGCCTCCGACGATCAAGTTAGTAAAGATACGGGAGGTAGAATGCACGTAATGTGGAAGTTACTTCTCGCGTAATGGGAGAATTCCGCAATTAATATTGCTCGGGGTAAGTGTGTTTCTTTTTGAGGAGTATTCAATGTGATCAACAAATGTTCCAGCCCCCATTAATGAGGGTCCTTCCACTATTTATAGTGGGGAAGGGATGGTTCCCCTTTTAGGGTTTAGAGGACACGTGTCAGCAGAGGATTGGAGCCCTGCTGACCAATGGCTGGATGCCACGTGTCACTAGGCCATTGGGCCATGTGATTAGGGTATTTTTACCCCAAACATTTGCCCCTCACTGGTGCTGACGTGGCAGGGTGCCACGTGGCGCCGGTGAAAGGTTTTTTTTTTTTTTTTTTTTTTAGATTCCATTTGAAGGATGGAAAAGCAGAAGGCGAAGAGTCACGACTTTTCACCTTCTGGGACAAATTCTATAAATAGGAGAAGATGTCCCCCGAGCTCTCATTTACAAACTTTGCCAAATTTCTGAAGATTTGAGAGCAGCCGGCAATTTGAGAGTTGAGAGCATTCGGAGTTGAGATTCGTTGAGAGAAACCGGTCTACAGACCGTCTGGGTCGTTGCAAGCTAGCCAAAGATTTTCGAGAGGATAATCAGAGAGACCCAGCCGGATTTTGAACCGCCTGCGTCTTCGCAAGCATCCCAGAGAATTTCCAGATTTTCTTCTGGGTACCGTCTCTATTCTTTCTAGCTTTTTCATGTATTTCCGTTTGAGTCTTTTACTCGCATTTTTGTTCATTGGTCCCATAAGTAGATGGACCCCTTATACCCATACCCGGAACCTAGCTGTGAACTCAGCCGGTTCATTAGTACGGCTGAGTCTAGAACTGGGTCTGCCGCCTCTGTTCTTTGGGACAACCCTTTTTCAACACCCGTATCGACCGACTCTGTGTCTGTGCAGGACACAATGGCCAGAATCCGGTCTACTGCCAGAGATCCCAACTACAGAAGTGGGAGCTCAGATGAGCAGCCGCCTGAGGTCCCAGCTTCAGGCGGTGAAATAGAGCATGGAGAGGTAGAGCAGAGAGGCTCACCCGGGGGCGCTCCTAGCACCCCGGGTGATAGCATTTTAAACGAAGAGAGTGCTCCCCTCCAGGAGACCAGAGAGCAGGTAGGCTCTGATAAGGAGGTCTCCAACTCCCCAGCCAGCTCTGATGCCGGTCACGTTCAAAGTAGCAGTAGCAGCTACCTAACCGAATCTGAGGATAGCGAAGAGGCGGAGAGGCCTTCCTGGGATAATAGGAACGATCCTCTCATGATCGCCGTCTCCTCCAAGGACCGCGAGCTCATGCGGGCTGCGCTGCCAGATTTTATCAAACGGCGGCCGCTGGGGGGTGACTATACAATAAAGGTCCCGGCTGCTCTGGGAACAATATGGTGGGAGGATGGACAACCGAACGCGAACGCTTGGTTCGGGTGCTACGAGGCGGCCTTCGTGGCCGGAGTCCGCTTCCCTCTCCACGACACAATAAGAGCCATACTTAGGGGGTATGGCCTAGGTCTCTGGCAATTAACCCCCAACTCATGGGTAAATATTTTAGGGTATATCGCCGCCTGCGAGATGCAGGGCCTCAACCCCGGCTGGGAGGCGTTTGCCCACATGCATTACTTGAGTAGGAGCCCAAGCGGCTGGAGAGCCTGGTATACCTTGACCACCCAGCCCAAATACCTTATGACCTTGGACAAGCCATCCAAATGGTCGGACTGGAAGCACCGGTTCTACTTGGTTAAGGCCCCAACTACGGCAGAGAACAGAGAATTCCGGATCTACAACCGGAAACCAGAACTCTTGGGGACCAAGTGCTGCCTGTCCCCTGTCCCGGAGGATGATAGAGAGACCATCCTTGACTCCGGGTTTTTTGAGTTAGTTCCTGACACCCTCTCATCCGGAGAGATAGTAAGGGTACCTAGAAACTGGGTGCCCAAACATGAATTTTTTAGGGACGAATGCTTCTTGTCCGCTTGTGGTCTAAGCAGCATGTTTGAAAAACTTATGTATTCGGAACTCAGCCGGTTTCTTTCGAACCGGATGCTTTTATTTCCTTGCTTATTTATTATTCTAACCGTGTGCCTTCCTCTGCAGAAGAAGCCAAGAGAATGCTGCCCACCGAGAAGACACCGGCTAGGTCGGCTGCCGACATCCGGAAAGCCAATCTCGAGAAAAAACTTGCTGCCCAGGCGGCGAAGAAGGTATAACCGTCTGATCCTTCTCGTTTATGTCAATCCTTTTATCCCATAACTTATATTTTTCTCATTTACAGGACGGGAAGCAGATGCCCCGGTCCCTTCAAAAACAGGTCAGGCCTCCGCCGACCCAACAAGAGTGCATCCAAGGCGAGAAGACAGCCGACCGGCAAACTACCGGCGGCAAATCAATAAGGGTCCCAGACGGGCCTGGATCTGCGGATGTGCTTTCTGCCATCCCATTGAGGACCGCACCCGGTCCCTCTGAAGGCCGTTCGGGCCGCCAAGGTAACTTCGACCTTAAACTGCTTGATCTGCCCATGCGGGTCAAGTCTTATTCACAGTCTCGATCGCAGCCGGGGGATTCTCCAATCAGCCGGCAATCTATAGGCAGAGCATATGCGAGTTTCTCACCGTCTGTTTCTGGTGCAGATAATTCTCCCCGCTGGCCGGACGGGGCACAATATGCCCGGGCCATGCTGAAAGCCGTCCCCAGGGACGAGAAGGAGGCGATCCCTGGGATCAACTCCTTTAATGCCGACCGGGTGCTGGTCGACCTGGCCGACGTATGCTCCAACAACCATGCGGTTATTTTCTTGACGTGCATTTTTAAGTATGCAGTATTAACCGGCTGTATTTTTGCAGGCTATGCTGCGCGTAGAGGGGCTCAAACGAGCTTATACCCGCAAGTCTGAGGAGGTAAGGAGAAGCAAACGGGCTGTTGATGACGCCCATAATGTTGCTGACTACTCTTTGTACATGCATGGCTTAGAATCTAAATCTATACGCATGGAACAGGCGGAGAAGACCAAAGCCCCCCAACAGCAGATTGATCAGCTGAAAAACCAAGTTGACTAACTGCAGGCGTCCCTGGATGATGCCAATAAAAAGTTGGAGGAACAGACAGAGCCCCTCCAACGGCTGAGCAAGGCGGAGACTGAAAATGGCCGCCTTGCCAAAGAGAATGAGCGCCTGCGCAAAGAGGCGGCTGCTGCCAATGAGAACTTCAAGGTCACCTTGGAGTTGGAGCAGGAGAGGCTCATTGAAGAGAATGAGCATGACTGTGCAAACCGGATTCAACGGGCGTTTTCCCTCATCCACCCGGAGGCGGACTTCACCGTCTGGGAACTCGCCTTCAAATATTCTGATCTTGCCATTCTGGCCGAGGAGGCGAATGAGCCGGGG